AAATACCTTACAGTCACATCTAAGTTACTCTATAACTAAAACTGACAAACAGAAAGCCAACTTGTTTAGATGTTGAATGTTTGGACACAGTGCAGTGTTGTCAGATCTTTTTTTTGATTTATAGATCCCCTTTTTCCATTGATGGAAAGGACACTGTGCAATAAATCTGATCTACTGACAGTAGACTCTTGTTCCAAATCCACTGGTGGGCCACAGGTGGAACAAAATCTAATTTTTGCATAGCAGGTTCCAGAGTAATTTACAATTAACCTGAGGAGCACACTGGACCTCCACTGCTTGACAGGAATTTCACCATTGCCCGCAGTTTCATGAAGAGTCAGACAGTTTCTTTTGGGGGCAAATAATTCAATAGGAGTCAAGGAAAGTTAAGTTTGAAGAATATGTGTGTTTTGAGTCTGATCCAAAGCACACTGATTGTCAGAGGAAGCATTTGCCCACATATTCCTCTGCTAGCAAAGATAACTTTTATAAGAAGCAACCACTTTAATGACTCAGAGTATAAATGGTTAACATGAGGTCATAAAGGTTCTTCCCTTGCCTCCCCTGCATATCTACAGCTATTGCATGGCACTGCAGTGCGTATTTAGAGCCAGACAGGCTGCTCACAGAGGTGCACTGCCATCATCCATAACCTACAGTGGCAGGACTCAGTTTTATGTGAGATGAGGTCTATTTAATATTAGTAGACGTGTACTGATCCTAAGGCCAGGGAAAATCTCAGCAATCACACAACTTCACAGGAGATGTGATGGGTTCTCTGTCTTGTAGTGACATCACACTCAGGCTGGATTTCACTGTGTAACCTGAGTGATGTAAATATGCACTAAAATTAAAGGCAATGAAGTCTGGTATGTATTTTTTAAAAAAACCTCGTAATTTAAATCAATTATTTAAAATTTAGAAACATCTTGCTGAACGTAGACCCTGAGTTTCTGCTTCCTATAAAATGATGTATTCCCATCCTGATGGAATTAATGATTTTAATTAAATTCAAGAATAAGTGGAGTGTACTGAAAAAAAATTTTTTTTTTTGACTCAGTTTGTGTCTGTGCTATTAGAGGATAAGAGAAGAAAAAGTTATGTAATTCCTTAGGACAGGTAATTGAGCCTTTCCCAGCTCAGGGGTACCTGTATGCTGTGGATCTATTTCCTCAGAGTATATCAGCATCCCAACAAAATTCCATTTCTGTGCAGGGTTTTCAGCCTGTAGTATGAGATCACAGTTTTCTCCTAAATTTAAAATTTGCTTTAAATTACCCACAAGCACCACGGCTGTTTTTTACTGGATGTGTTCATCCCTAAAGAATGTCTAGGAGCTATAAATAACCCTTAACCACCTAATGTTTGAACTGGTGGAATGAGAGCTGGCAGTCAGAAGCCAAATGATTTCACTATACATGGTAAGTATTCTTTTCAGTAAAATAAACTCCAAATATTTCAGGACTCAAGGCACAGAGGGCTCAAAAATTCAATGTCAGGACAGCCCACTTTGGTATATGATTACATTTTGTAAAAAAGCAGGACAAATTTCATGATGGCCAAAACTGTGTTGACTTTCACAGACATTTTGTGTAAGCAGAGGAGTTACACCATTGGTATCAGAGGGATCTAGACTTGAATATGCCTCAGGGGATGGAGCCACTGTCATTTTTGGTCTTTGGTATCCCACCAGAAGTTGTGAGCAATCCCTGCATTCCCAGAGCCCACTGGAGTAGCAGCTTATGTCAGCAGTTATTGAACAGGTTTAGCTGACCTTGGAAAAACCACAAATCTCATCTGTTTGAGATCAGAGGAGATGATTTTGTCAGCAATTACACAGTGCCTACTTTAGGAGTTTATTCAGACTTTTCAAAGGCCTGACAAATGCAAGGAACAAATTTCAATCCCAATAAATGCAAGGAGGAAAGAGAACTCAAGCTCATAAACCCAGCCTTTCAGGATATTGTATCTGGAAGTATGTATTAGCAATTTAAAGATCCTAAATTTGAACTTTACTCCCCTTTATCCCCAGACTACAGGAGTGCCAAGAGGCCAAGTTAAAGTGTGACTGTGCTCACTGGGAGCTCTACTGGCCCTCAAGCAAACAGGCTCTTGCATTGAAGAGTTAACACCCTGAATTAAAACCAGCAGCAGAACAGAGGCAGCCAGCAAGGCCATGGAAGGACAGATACAAGTTATTTACATAAATCAGCTCTGGAAGGAGTTAGTAAAACCTAAAAACAGAAACATTTTATGTTCCCTGAAAGCAACAGGCAAAGCCAGGTCGTAACCAAAGTGGAATCCACCTTTGTTCAGCACTTTTGAGATCTAAATGAGAGATCTAGAATATGGGGGTTTTTCTTCAGAAAAAAATGAGACTCAGAATCCACAATCAATATTAAAAAATCTGTTATCGCCACCATTCAGAAAAACCCAAATAGTACCAACACCACATCCCCCCAGAAAAGATATTTCCTTTGAAGACAGACAAAATTAGGTTCTTATTACCTTTAAAAGCTGAGTCACACGTGGACAGTTCTGGATTGCAGCAGACCTCTGAAGAATGGGCATCCCTCCCAGCAGAGCTCTGAGATAGGATTTGATGGCTGCTAATGGTAAATAACTTTTTTTGGGGTAGATAAGTAGAGGATGATGTTCAAGTTTATTATTCCATAGCTCATGGATATAAATTTTAGGTAGAATAGCCCTAACTGATTTATAACTGCATATTTGTGTTATCTAATTTTCTATTTCTTTTAGGGGGGATCACATAAATACAAATCTTTCCTTGAAAACAAAAAATTCCTTAGTGGAAAAAAGTGTGGCATTGTCACAGATCCTACATTCACTAAGAAAGTATAAATTTATACCCTTTTAAGAATAATGTTTTATTTCCTAGGTGAGCTTTCCCCTGCTGCTTTAAAAAGGGCAATTGTGAAAATCTTTGATCAGTCATGAAATTTTTCTTGAAGACAAAAAAATCTTACCTGTGAGGGTGGTGAACCCTGGCACAGGTTGTTTAGGGAAGCTGTGGCTGCCCCTGGATATGTCCAAAGCCAGGCTAGACAGAGCTTGGAACAGCCCGGGATAATGGAATGTGTCCCTACCCATGAGGGGAATGAGATGAGCTTTAATAACCAAACCATTCCAACCAAACTATTCCACCCAAACCATTCTGGGATTCTGTGATTTAATGAAAAGACTGAATAATTAACTGATAGCATGATTTTGGAAAGTTTGATGAAACTGCATTTCCCATTTATGCTTTTTCTTCAGCATTTGATGTATTTTAGGAGCCAGAACCTCTGTTAGTTTCATAGGCTTGCAAGAAGTCAGAGATGATGTTTGACAGCAAACTTTCCTCCTAAGGTATTAATGAACTTAAAGAATTCTACCTATCATTTTTTTTCTTCTTTTGCTCCTGCTCGTTCTACAGTCAGGAAGATTAAATATTTTTGCTTGCATTTTTTAGATTAATTTGAAATTCATATTAATTTGAAATATCCACACCTTCTGAAACGAAGCCTTTCTTATTCCAGCCCTGCTCTCTCGCTTGTCTTGCCCTTCCTAAAAGACTAATAAAATGACTGAGTGATGTAGTTTGGCTGCTGTTCAGCTGAACTCAGGACACAGGGAGAGAGTGCAAGTATTCCCAAATGAAAGGAAGAAAAAGTACTTTTAGATTATACAAATAATCACCATTATTTGTGTTTCCTGTCAGCTGCTGGATCCAAAGTATTCTTTCCTCACGAAGGTGAATGAAATTGTGGAAGAACTGGGGACTCTGACAATTCTAACAAGCCAAAATTATTCTAAAATGATTTTGTTCTCATCTTCAGGAAAATGAGGCCCATAAGAGAAATGTTGCTGTGCTGCAGAATATGTTACAACATGCTAACTCCTCCCTTTTGTCTGGAGAAAAATCCTCATCTGCAGTCTCAGAACAGTGGCTGAGATTCTGAGCTGGGGCTTCCATTTTCCTCACCTGTTTGTGAGCTTTGAACCCACAAACACAGTACATTGTAAAAGTTGTAGATTTGCAAAATCACTGAGGGAGGACTCCATACAAAGCCATTGTGCTGAAAGAGCAAGGCACAGACACATTTTGACAAGCCAAGTGTTCTGTTTGCTAGGTAGGCCATGTCATTTTGCATATTTACCAAGGGCTAGTAGATATAAGCTAATAAGCCTCAAATTCTGAAGAAAAGCAAGTCTGACCACACCAACCTGGAATATGGCCAAAGCCCTAAATGTCATGTTGCTCTCATGAGTCTGTAACCATCTGACCTTTATGAATGCAGGGGCAGTACAACCTTAGTAAGTCCATGGAGCTCTGCCTAACAAATCTGGCCTTTGATTACATTTATTTTCTCACAACCACTGCAAAATTCAAGAACTACTCCATGCAAGTTGATAAGAGATGGAGAAAAATATCAGGATTTAAATGGTCAGAGCATCAAGTCACAGCTTTCCAGAGGGAAATCCAGCAAGATATTGGCTGGCCAAATCTTGGCTGTGCATGAGATCACACCAGAAAGACTTGTGATGGAGTTTTTAGTTCAACCATTCTTAAGGAAAGCTCAGTTTCCTGTGAATTCCAGCCTGTTTTTTTTAGCCAATGAGATAAAGTGCTTAAATTTACTTCATCCTGGGAATATGGGACATTAACAAGTTTAGTATTCACTTCACACTACTTACAGCTGAGTAGAAGCCTGCTGCTAATAATGTTTTCCTATTTAGACTCTGCTAGGAATTTGAAGATGCCTGGAGGGAAACCTGCTCCTCTGCCACGTTCCTGTTTTGGACAGGAGTAGGAGACCATCAAGAAAAGATATGGGGTGCTGCAGAAACAAGTTTTGACTTGTTAGCTTTGCTCCCTCTCTCTTTACTGGTGCCTCTCTCCTCATACAAACCAGGCTCCATTCCAGTCCCATTTTGTGTTCCACTGCAAACTCTGCAACCACATAAAGCTGCAAAACAGGCTTCCAAATCCCAGTGTAGGTTTTATAAATGATTATAGGGCTGTGGAGTTAATTTTTATTTACATAACATTTCAGGCAACCAACGTAAACATTTGTAAGTTGTATGAAGGAATGTCATGGTGGTTCCAAGGCACGTATGGGCATATGGACAATCCTCCAGACAGATTTAGGGGCACCTGCTGCTACTTGTTCAGAGAAAAGCACAACCTTCTCTCTCCATATTTTCACACGTGCTTGGCTCTCAAGCATGTGAACAGAGTACACAGGCCCAGTGTTTTGTTAAAGGGAGGAGAAAGGGACACGTTCCACTGGGATTTCATGGATTATAATTATTTCCAAACCAAGACTATTTAATTAGGGTGAGAAGGAAAAGAGCAGGAAGAATAAACAACACAAGCAATATAAAAAAAAAAAAAATTACAATAAAATATGTTCACTCCCTTAAGCAATGGCCACCAAGATCAGCCACACTACACAAATATTCCAAGACACAGCAGAAGGGGAAGAGTATATTAAAATAAACATTGGCCACACACCGCTTTTGACAACAGACTTGAAAGAAGAACTAGGGGATCACACCTCACCCCTCTGAGCCATGAGCAGCAACCCCTTGGCCCAGAGAAGCAGGGCAGTAGCAGCAGCAGAGCCTCCCTCTGGCACAGTGCTAAATGCTATAAGGCAGGAATCAAAGTCCAATAAAACAAAATGCCCAACTGGGTAGATCCAGATGAGAGCTCTTCTGGGCCCTGTGTTAGTCTTGGCACCCTTGCCAATGCAACAAAAATGGAGAACTCTTAAAATCATGCTGAGCTCACAGCAGTTTAGACTTAATTTAGCGTAAGCATCTGCCCTACAGACCAGGGTATCACCAAGAGAAGCAGGAGGACAATTCAACTGGATTTGTTCAAGTTTATGAAAGCAGAAGGAATGACAGATTTCCTACAGGGGAAAAAGAGAAAAGGACAGCATGTCTGTATGGGCTCTGGGATCCTCTCCCACTCTGTGGCTCCGAGTTCTCTGCTGATGACAATCCTACGGGGAAGGAAGGGCACATCTCGTCTCCTACAGCTGGTGGAGGGTCTGTAAGAGCATGTGGCGAGCAAATGAACAGGAGTCAAGAGCACGGTTGGGCCTGTGGAAAGAAGGGAGAGAAAGATTTAAAATACTGAATTTAAGAATGGCTTTGTGTCTGCCTTCGACTAAGCAAATAAACACAATTTTCAATGCATTGGATGTGTATGCCCCAAAACCTACAGATTTTGCCCTCAGTTATCTTTTCCAATACAATTCCATCACTGCTGCCCAGATCACTGCTTCCCATTCAGAGCCTGCTGTGGAAAACTCTCTCTCCTTAGAGTCCAAGTCAGGAAGACATTGGCCTAGAATAAGAACATTTATTTCAATAACTATAAACAATCTGCTACTGACTTTTATCTCTGCAGCCCAGTGTCTCATTCTGGGTAGAATGATGGAGGTGGAAATGCCCTTCCCTCTCTTTCAGCAATGGATTTTTCCCACCAAGTTTCATTGTCTAGAGCCCCAAAACACAGGAGATGATCCTATGAGCTTTCCAATCTTTTCTCACCAAGTCATCTGCTATCTATAATCAGATGGTCACTTTGGTCTCAAGATTTTAAAAGTCTTTAAAAGAAGCAGCATAACCTCCTGTTACTCTTCCCTGAGGTCAAGTAACAGCTGACTGGCTTTGCTGGGCTGATGCCCATTAGGTTTTGCCTTTTTTTCTTTTATATGTTCTCTGCACACATGCATTCGTCACACATGTATTTGCACCTCTATAATCTATTGTATAAATGACCAGCTTTCCCAGTACTTTTCCATGGCCTCTCCTTAAGCAGAAATCCAAAAATTTCAGAGCACCAAGCCCCAGGAGATACAAGACTCCATACTATCTTGGTTCTTCCTGGGAACCAAGGCTGATAACAACTCTTCAAGATACATTTTCATGGACAAAGTACAACTAGTGCTAAGGGGAGGCTCCAGAGAAGGGGCTTGACCCAGGGGGGAATTGCATCACCACTTGTCCTCATCATTGGTGTTTCTTATCAATTATACTAGTTTTCTAAAACCTATAAAATGTATTTATATACATGCAGAAATATACATGTATATTTCTGTTTCTGCAGGCTAATTGTTGGTTCAGCATCACAAACTTTTACCAGTCTCAATCCATCCATTAGGGAACAACACAAACTCCATCACCTCCAGCAAGTCTCAAGTGGGCAGGCAGACATCCACATCCTCTAAGTATTTCCACCTAAAAATTTACGGAAAAGTGCATGTGGATTCACAGCACCCTCTTGCGTCCAAAAAAGGCTTGACAGCAAGCAGAGTTGGATGCTGTTTACAGTCTGTATCCATACTGCTGTAATTACTATTGAACAGAGAACACTGCCTACAACAACAAATTGTCACAAAAGGAAGGAGCTAAGTGCCTATTCCAGAAGCCTTCTTGCAGTGAAAGACAGCAGAGCTCCGGCCTAGGCAGCTACAAGAACTTTACAGCTCTAAAAGCCCAGAAGAGTTAACCACAAACCAAAGTGAGAAAAAAAAAAAAAACCCACAAAAATTAATATTATTTTTCTGCAAGTGAAGGAATCATAGGTTTGACAGAGTGGAATTAGATTTGTTGCAGAAACAGAGGCCAGATGAGTTCTGAGTATTACTAGGTTAACCAGATATAGGTTCAACTTTAGGATTGCAATTTTACACTGACTGAATCCCAAGAAGAGACAAGGGATAGAGGTTAGTTGATAAGCTGTGTGTTTGTTTTGGCTGGGATAATTTTCTTCACGGGTTGGGCTGTGTTTTGGATCTATGCTGGAAGCAGTGCTGCTGACAAAGGAATGTTTCAGTTACTGCTGAGCAGGGCTCACACAGCATCAAGGCATTTTGTTTCTCACCCCACCCCAGCAGCTAGTAAGCCAGGGGTGCACAAGAAGCCAGAGGAAACACAGCCAGGACAGCTGAGCCCAGCTGTCCCAGGGATATTCCACAGCACACAGCATCATGCTTATCAGATAAAGCAGAAGGAAGGAGCTAGCTATGATGGAGCCTGCCTGGAGATAGTGGGAGTGATAATTTATTGTTTTGCATTGCTTACAGATGCAGCTTTTACTTTACCTATTAATTTGTCTTCGTGTCAATCCCCAAGTTTGCTTACTTTCAGTCTTCTCCATCTTTTCCCCATCCCACTGGCTTGAGAGTAAATGGCTGTGTGGGGCTTTGTTAGCAGCTGGGGTGAAACCACAAAAGGCTGTTTGAACTGGATTGTGGGGTTCTTGAACTGTTTACATTTACCCAGACAGGTTTAAGAGCTGTTGTCCTTGTTCCCTTAAGGGAAAAAATTGTAAGAAAGGCCTGTGTTCATATAACAAAGAGATTGCTTGTATCTAGTGTGGACTGCATTAGGCAAGACAAAAGTTTCCCTATAAAAATCACAGCTTGCAACAAGTTTGTAAAGCAGAAAACTTCAGCCTTTCATAGCACACTGGTGGAAGCTTGGCATTACCACATATGAGAGGAAGAGAGGAAGATCTGCCTTCCACCAGGGAGGCTCTCAGCTCTCACTCAGCTTCTACAGAACCTATGAACAGTCTCATACTTCCACCAAGAGACCCTCCCCTCTTGTTCATGTAGTGAAATGCTGGCCCTGGCTTTAATAGAGTTTGTGTTGATGAATTCATGAACACCAAAATTTTACTCTTTATTTTGTCACATACAGCATCAACTACAGCTTAAAAACATTTATTGGGAAAGTCTACATGTACAGGAAGAGGGAAGACAATTGTCTTTCCTGAACAAAATTTGTTAGGACACTTAGAATTAAGAGGCTTCTCTGGGCATTGCTACCTGACATAATTAGGACAGTCAAATGCCCTGAACCAAAGTCTCTCCTGTATCCTCAGCTTTCAGCAACTTAAATTCCATTTTGAGGGCTGGGGCTTGATCAATAAGCAAGAACAAGGCAGCAGTGTAGGAAACAGCAGAAATTCAGTGATATGGCTGGATAACTTCACATGGCAAGTCCTGGCATTTCTTGCTTAAACCTATAATGATCTTGCTTAAACCTATAATAAGTTGGAGGTATATTTGTTCACTTGGTAAAGCACTTGGTCACTAGCCTCTAAGTGCCTTAATCTGATCAACACAACGACAGGAGGCAGCAGGCAAAGTGTTCCACAAGAAGGGCCTCCAGTTAGTATATGCACATGTGTAAACAAGATACTTTACTTTCCAAAACTCACCTTAGCAAGCATGGTTGGTGTTTATGGACATCTGCTAGTGCTCAGTGTCACACAGCATGACAACTCAGAGAGCTCTGCTGACCCTCTTAAGTCTGAAGGATGACTTGGAGGGCATAGTTAGACCCAGTGTACCCACAGTTCATTCATACAATGGCCAAAAGCCCAGCAAGTTTCCTTAAGCTCAAAACAGCTCTTTTGTGAAAGGTATTAGCAGTCTCTCCTTCAGAGCCACTTGCTTGTAAAGCCAACTTTCCACTTTTCCCTCTTTAGTTTTTTTTTTTTTTTCAATTCTGAACCTCACATACTGCAGTAAACAAGATAAAATAGAGGCCCATTAAGCTACTAATTCTCAGTTTCAGAACAGACATGTAGTGGGCTTTCACAAAAGCTTACATGCAGCTATTAACCCTCAAACAGTTGCACCAGCTCCCAAAGAGAAGATGGCATGGCAAATACAATACTCACTTTGTAACAAAAGCTGAGAGAACTGGGGCCAGGGATTTAGGGAAGTAATCCTGCTGGACTATATGGTTCAAGGTCATAAGAATACCATAGAGGCTTGGTACAGTTTTGATCTTCTCTTCACTCTGATAAACGGACAAGAAATCAGACATCAGAGAACTGGGATTTGATTTAACCCACTGTAATTCACAGCCAAGGAATTCTCTGCAGAATGAAGTGCTCCCACATACTGCAGGATAGAAAGCTGGTCACTAGATTAAGTACAAGACAAAGGTAGCAAATTCCATCGTCTCCCAGCACCTGAAACAATGTATCAAGAACGTTCTAATACTTATCAACTGACAATAGTACTAATTGGGAAAGGGAAGTAGTGAACCTGCAAGTGAAACAGAGCCTCTGAGAAGATTTGGCTGTGTCCAAGTGTTCTCCTGAGGAATTTCACCAGACTTCAGTCCATAAAGAATTCAGTTGCCTTCATAATTTTTCTGTTATTCTGTAGCTCATTTTTATACCACCTCCAGCTCTTTGACAGGCTCCTTCCAGAACCTGATACAGTGTTCCCAGAACTGGTCTCACAGTTATGTATAAGCTAAAGCCAAAACATCCCCTTGCTTACATGATGCAGAAATTATTTCTTACTCCCAATGTGATGCTACCCTATGTGTCCCAACTCTTACATGGTTTTCATGTATCTTTCTACTGGCATTTCAACAAAATTCATCATTCTGCAGACAGGACCCAGACCTGTGTTCCTGCTGTATGACCTTGGAGTTCACAGTATTAAGAATATCTGTTGCTCACATGCTTCTAGCTACATAGGACTGAAAATGGAGTTCTTACCCACATGTAGGGAACTAGGGATTAATTAAGCACATCACAGATTTGAATCAGCAGGTTGATTCTCCAGGGCTTTATCACCACTTCCTGTCCTGAAAGAATTCTTCAGGAGCACAGGTTGGTGCTTTGTGCCTCATGTATATTGCTATTTTCCACATGGGCAAGAGGTAGGTGGCAGTCCTCAAAACAGGCATTCTGCAGAACCAAATACCACCTTGGGTTCCATTGACTTTCTGGGAAGTGGGAAGCTCACTCAGTGATGGTCCAGTATGCAGTGAATATAGAAAGCGGCTGAAGTGATTTTTAGGAAATTAAGTCATATGCACACATGTCAACGAGGGTCTGAACACCAAGCTGGAGACTACCAGAAGGACATTCACAAACCTGTTTAATAGCAGGCTGCTCTAACAGATTATGGCTTTTCTGTAGTTTAGAATTGTCTTAGTCCAAGCTTATATTCTCAGCTTCCAGGTCTTGAGGCAGTGAGAAACACTAACTTTTGTAGTACAAGCAGGCAAAGGTGTTTAAGGCTTTGCAGAGATAATCTCTCCACAGCCACCTCACTGAAAATAAAGTTACTAACTCTGTGAAAATCACAGGCTTCCTACTGACCCTCCATCTTCTCACAGTAAGTTTATTCCTTGCAACTAATTACTTAACACTAGCATTTGGCAAAGAGTCTCCAAAGCATGATGTTGAATGCCACTGATCTGACATGAGTAGATAATACTAATGTTTGAGATATGCTCTCAAAAAATGCCCTAAAGGACCCCAATAACTAATAACATTGATATGGCTTTTATAGTCCAGCAGCAGCATTACTGCCCTACCTGAGCCTCCCTACCTTAAGGGAACGACTGAGAATGCAGAACACATTAAGCAGGAGACTTACAAAAGGCACACATCCTTCATCCTAATGCAACCTTGCAATTTGCAGTTTCTGCTGGACCCAAAGATTTCCATTGTCCCCGGGCATCAGGCATGCACAGGCATCCACCTGCTTCCATGGCAACATAATTACCCAAATTCCTGCCAGTCTGGCCTTCAACAGCCTAAACAGGCCATGAATTAACTCTTTGCTGCTTCCTCACCTTAAGTAGTCCCATGTGGGCCAAGAGGCTTGAGATGAATGCATCTGAATTAAATGTGGCAGAACTGAAGGCTTTTTTCATCAAGGCATCTAAAAAGAGATAAGCACATTAAATTTAATCAACAGAGAATAAAGACATTTATGGATTTTAAGATGAAAATGGATCATACAGAAACTCAGCTGTTAAATTGGTTTTGTGATACAGTATCTTTTAAGATTTCATTTGTCTCTGTAGCTATAAGCTCTGAAACATTAAGATAGGTAAAACCCCTTAAGTAAAAAGGAGAAAAAACAAAATTTAAAACATCCAGCAAAACACACAAAGCCCACATGATAATTCCCACACCCCCAAGCTTCAGATGCAATGCACCCCAGTCCTATGCACCACCAGATGCTCTGCTCAGTGCTTTTGAGTATGCATGCTATGTGGTTGCGTACAAACATGAGCAGATAAAGTAAAGCTCATCAAGATGTAGAGCCTTGACTTCTTAAAGGCCAGCAACAATTCACCTTTCATTTGAAACCACAAATAATAAGAGAAAACAATGCCAACGTTTGTTCAGTTGTTTTCTGGGCACCCTCAGGACTAATACTATGCCACAAACAATGGGCAAACCAATGCTTTAACCTCTCATGTGTACAAGGTGGCAAGGCAACCCATTTTTGACCTCTGACAATTCTGTTTTCTTAGAACGGGCAGAATTCTCTAGAGTGGCTGTAGAACAGTGCCAGACATTAACCAGGGCCCTCACTGTCAGCTGATGACTGCTTTTATGGAAGGAAAGTAATTGCCAGGTTCTATCTTTCCTGAAGAAGCAGGAATAAAGATAAATATGTAAACAAACACACTTGGGACATCTATAATACCCTTTGTTCCATTTTTTACTGGAGACAATTCATAACAGGCATGAGACAAGGTGCTCTAGCTCAGTGAAGTGCCAAGTGACTATTTTTTCACTGATTCAACCCATAACCAACTGCAGAGAGCTATTGTGTTACTGTTTGTAAAAGATTCACATGTCTATGAATTCCAAACCACTTGAAGTGGTCTTCACAATAATTGATCGAATTCTTTTGCACAGTAATGATGGGTAGCTCACATGTGGGAGAATTGAACTGCTGGGGGATTTGAAAAATGAGAGGCAGTGGTCAGATGCCCAGGATTGTTTGGAAATCACTATTTCCAAGCAAAATCATGAAGGGATATACTAGTAGTCCACACACTAATCAGACCTAACCCAAACTACTATTCCAATATAGTGTGAGAAATGGTCCCTTCTTGGAACACTGGTTTCTGTGTCTTGCCCCATGCTGGAAATCTCCGTTTCTTGAAGTAATTAAAGATAAGAGACATCAACTAGGAGGTCTCTGTTTACAATCTCATAACACTACACTAGGGAGGCTACTTCCTGCAAAACGCTTTTTAAGTAAACAGCCTTGGAAAGGTAACTGACCTTAAAACACAGAATTAGTGGCTGTGGACAGCCCAGCATCCAGGAGATGCAGTAAGGGTAGCATCAGGAAACTACAACAGTGACAGGCTTTGGCAGCACAAAATATGCCAAGTTCAGAATGAACCTTCCACTCTACACAACAGCAGGGCACAGCTTGACACTGTTACCTGCCAGGGGCAAAAAGGCCCAATGGCCTGGCTCACAGGGGCCTTGTCCACCTTGCAAAGCTGTCTATGGCACTAAACCAGGTCACACCACAATGTGAAGAAAAGGCCAATCACCTGTTGTTTCATGCACTGCTGTTTTCACTGGGGCCTCATCTTTGAAGACTGAGGATATTCTTAGGAGGGTTGCAACTACTTTCTCTACATCAGATGTATCTGTCTGAAAGGGAAAAAAATAGAGATCAGTTAACTGCTAGACAGCTATGGAAAGAATTACAGTCTTCAGCTGACTGACATCAGCTTTGCCTTGGCCATATCACAAGGCACAAGCAACATAAATTATTTTATGTAGAAGCTCTGATACCAGTTTAAGCATTAGCTGCATCATCTGATTCCATAAGGTTCTTTGGGATCACTGAAGATGCAAATCTAGATCAAGTTATCAGCTCTGGCAATTAAACAATTTTGAGAGGAAAATCATGCCCAGATAAGCTCCAGCTCACCTACCTGCTGAGCTATCAGCACAGAGCACTTTGGTCCTAGTCGCAGCAGTTTCTCTGGTGATGGGAAAGCAAGGAAGGTGGCAACATCCACAGGAGGAGATGGCACAGGAGTTGAAGCCTGAAACAGGTGGAATCCATCTCAAGTTTATTCTTGGAAGTAAATAAATTGGTTCAGCAAAAGCAAATGGGACAGGTCAGGGCACAGCTATACCAGGCCAGAATCTGTTCTCTTTGAAAACAGCCTGAAGCTGACCTAAGCCCAGAGCTGAAGTGGTCAGGATATGCTAGCACAAGGGCATGGCACTGCATTGTCCCCACCACTTTCTGAACATGGAAGACTTTTGCTACCCATGTGTTGCTACAACAACTACTCAGCCTTTCCCTCCATGCATGTGTACAACATGCCCACTTCAACAAAACACATTTTTCAACTAATCCATTTTATTTCCTGAATGTTATCTCCCTGGTAAAATAGTGCCAGCCCTTGCAGAAATGTGACTGCCTCTCAGCCCTTCAAGTTCAGACTCCACAATCTCATTTCCTCCTTTACTCTTCTCCAGCCGATGAAACCAAAAATCCAGCCGGCAGTAAGCTTACCTGTGAATCAATTATCTTCTTAGGAGTCAGTGACTCCTGTTCTTCCGTTCCTCTCTCCTTCAGCTGTTGCTGTTCCTCCTCCTCTTCCTCCTCCTCATCATCATCTTCCTCTTCCTCATCATCATCCTCTTCCCCTTCATCATCACTAAAGTTAGAATGTTACATATTCCATTAATTACACACCTGGAATTCCTGTACACTGGAACTCAAACCTTGTCAAGAACAAAAGAGCAGCCTCTCCTCAAAGTCCTACTGCAAGAAGCACATCTCACCTACAACACACTAAGAGGACACTCAGACATCACTCACCCAGAGAACAGCAAGGAAAGATCAACAAGCACAATCAATTACTTATGCTGAGGTGAGCCCATCAGTGAAAACAAGACAAGTTTAATACATATTCTTGGCTGTGCTCCACACTCAGATCAACATCCACCAGCAGTGAGAGAGTTATTTTAAAATTAAATAGGCCAATGAAAATGTTGATGAAAATTGTCAGAAAATTTCTGATTTAAACTCTGGTAGCATGCCTACCTCAAAGACCCCAGCACTGATGCCATATTGAAGCTTTCAAGGATCTCATGGAGCTGCTCACACACCTCTTCTCCCAGACAGTTACCTAGATTGACAGAGGAAAGTGGACTTGACAGATGAACACAAGTTTGTTCTTGAGGACTTACCTGTATATTCTTGTCCATCTCTTGTTTCTGAAATGAAAAAGTTACATGCCATTTCTGCACAAGGCCTCTGAGACAGCAACACAAACTGCACTTATCAGACAGAATCAAACACTTGTTAAACAAATTTCAGCAGCATTACACAATGGTTGGAGATAAAAATCCCCTAACACTTCAGGAGTTTGAGAGACTTCCTATTATTTCTCTAGATATCTCTTGTTCTTAGTGATTCTAAAACAAGGGCACAACACAGCATCAGTGAAATCCATTGACCCAAGGTATGAACAGCAAAAGCCAACATACCCACACTCTTCTGCAGAGCTGCACATAAATGTTTTTGTTTTGTATGAAGTATCTGAGATAGCACTGATGAATAATTAGAGTTTTATTGAAAAGAGGTATAGCTATCAGCTTAATCTTTGCACCTTAGCAGGTGCACTAAAAAATGCTTACCAATTAACTGAGTTCATAGTTTAAGAAAACTTTCAGGATCTAACCACTTCCCATCCCAAGGTCATGCAAGTTCAGCTACTGAGTACTGTTTTTTATATGCTGACAATTCCAATAATAGAGTATATGGTTCCATTAACATTCTTCCTAGTGGTTTCTCATTGGAATCAAACTATACATATTTTGATCTAGCAAACCTACATACCATTGAGATCCAACTTCTCCAACTCTGTCTTATCTTCGATAGCTTCAGCAACAGTCAGAGCAGCATCTCGCTTGATCTCACAGAAAGACAAATTCAGTTCCTAAAAATGCAGAAGGACATTTTGTCTGCAGAACTCCTATTAAGATCTATTGTATCCATAAATTTCATGTCCTCACAAGTGTCCTGGAAAGACTAATTTGAAGAGGCTACCAGCAAAAAAAAAAAACAAACAAATCCATCAAAAATAAAGTCCAACATACTGCTACCTTATATACTTGAAAGGGGAGTTTTGAAACATACTGGTAGTTATGAGTAGCATTATTAAAGGTGGCAATTTTAAAATACCTACAAATCACTGCTCACTTGAAAGGTAGCAGACATTTCAGTCCTTAGCAGTCAACTGACTGGAGATCTTCACTTATCAAGGGTCTCATGAGCACTCAAACTCACACACACTCCAGTAAGTCTAACATAAAAAGGGCAGTTACTGTACTAAACAGATAGCACATTTCCTTTGACAACTCAGTTTCAAGTTAAGGCCTTCAAAAAAAAAAAGCCATGAGTGGTACTACTTCTGACAGATCCAGACAACAGAGAAACCATGTGGACTAGTAAGAGTCAACTAATTCAACAGCCAGACACCATCCCCCACTATACCACATTATGCTCAATCAATCCCTTCCTGAGAAGGGATTGAATATTAACAGGAGAAGGGAAGCAGACCTTGAACAGAATGAATCAGCTGTAATTGCTCCATGCTACCTTCCTGTAACCATTTCTACTCTGGGAAAAATGATTAAACTTCTGTCTGTTCATATCAATACCCCATTACTTAAGTTTGCTTGGGCGATTCAGACAAGTTTCAGTACAACCAGCAGAAGCCCAAGCAAGGCATCACATACCACAAAGAACCTACTCTTTCTATAGGTTCATACACACAAATAGGTATTAGGTTAATTCCCGTCTTTGATTGGAAGATTAGCAATCATATGCTCAGTATCTATCTCAGGGTAGTTATGACTCATGGCAGGTGTTTCTAAAGATCCTAGGTTCGCTTACATTATTAATTTGACTTCAGTCTATCCAGAATGTTGTCAGATTCAAGTCCTGCAAACACTGATGTAGCAGGCTGTGGTATCACCAAAAAACTAAAAATACTTGGACCCTTGACTGATGCTCTAACAAAGAAAAAGGATCAACTGTATGAGCTATGAAATGCTGAAAAGACAAGCTGCTCATGAAGCCCTCATTATGTCACGCCCCACTCTTGAAACTCTGGGAAGTTGCAGGTACTTCCATTATCAGTTTTTTGAGTAGCACTTACTGAGTTGAGCCAACAGCTGCAAAAACATCAAGCAAAGACTAACCAGATCACTGGTACACCTCCACATAGCACAGCCCTCACTGGATGGTGGAGTGCCATTGACCTATATCACTGCTTGCTGCTTCTCCAGTGTGAGCACAGAGCGGGCACCAAATCTTATCTTAAAGTAATCAGCAGTAGTAGGAGAAAGAACAGAACAACATGAAATTGAAAACTGGCAGTTTTAAAAAGAGCTGAACAGCAAGCAGACAATACCTTTAATTTATGAAGCCCTTCTTTAACAGCATCAGCAATAGCAACAGCACCCTTGGAACGGACCAGGCAGTCCCCAAAGTTGATCACTTCAATCTGACGAAGTGCCTTCAGAGTCTGCAGAGAAAGACAGAGATTTGAAAGTGGACATGCAAGTAAGTGAACATTCTGTTACTTCTGGAATGCCATCTTTCCTATTGCAACATGACATGGTTCTACCAACCCTGAGGTGCTAATGCCAACCAGACTTGAGACAAAACCGAAAACAACTGCTTAAAACAACTCACCTCTGCCATCGCCACAGCTCCTTTCTCTGTGAAGGTGTTGTCATTCAAGTTTATAACCTTAAGTAGTGGGTTGATAGCAAAGGCCTGTGCTAGTGCCGTTATGCCAGGATGGTTAATTCCATTCTGTGGCATATGGACCTCTTCCAGAGTCCCAATGATCTGGGAAAGGATGTTGACAAAAAAAGCTTTTAGAAAGCATTCAGTTTCAATTCAACATCAGCTTCAATTCAACGTCAGCTCCCCTCTTAGGAATTGCTTAAAATTGTTTTGAGTTTCAAAACTCCATTGGTTCTTCTAGAGTGAATTATTTACCAACAATTCTGTCACAAATCTAAGTGAAATCACAGATGCATGGCAAATATCAGGTAAGTACAAAACCTTGATTCAAAGAGACAAGTATCATAGTCCTATATGCCTGCTCTAAATAACTTAAGAGTTCTTCGCCTGTGGCTCAAGAACACTGAAGTACACTACACAATATCGCTTGAATTTTCTAATGAAAATCTACTCTTAGCACTGACCACAGAAACAAGCATGTAAGAAACTCAGTACAAATATTGTTTATGGACTAAACAGCATGTCACATAACACAGTAATTAACTCCATTTTGGTAGTGCCATTCAAATTTGATTCTCCACAAATCACACTGTCATACAAATCTAGTATTTAAGAAGTCTTATTTTTGACATCATTACTGATTAATCCAAATGACATCTAGGCAGTTCTTTACAAAAAAAGTCAACCTGTAACCTGCAATATCATTCTCCATATGCATTGTAATTCAGAAGTCATTTCCAGCAACAATTGAAGTACCAAGAGGGAATTAGGTGGCCCCAATCACAGTGAATTGTCTTCTTCCCATAAAAGTGCAAGTGGCCAGTGACAGCTAGAGAAAGCCAGGCAACACTTCAAGCTCTGACTAGATGATCCTAGCAAAAAAAAAAACTGGGCTGCTTTTGCCAGATGACTGAGCAAAGCAGGATTCAAGAGAAAAAGCTGGGATACCCACCCCAGTGCCAGTCAACAACCACTAGCATAGAGAGAGGAAAAGGAATAGGACTATTAAATTACTCAGGAGATGACTATTTCTCCCTCAGGTAACTACATTTACATAGTGACTAACTATGTGTTTGGAAATTTAGGTCACAAAAACACTCAGTAAGCAAGTCTAACTCCACTTGTTGAAGACTCCAGTTTCAGCAGCAAGAAACATCATGACTTTAGTGAACAGACCACCAGCTCTTGGCTCCAAGCTGAGGCAAACTCTCCATGCATCATCTTTAACACTAGCACTGAATCATACCTTGCTCCAATTTGCTGTCAAAGCAGCTCTGGTTTGGTACTCACCCCAAAGGCTTCAGCCAGGGCAGTGGCACCATCATTCTCCAGGCGATTTCTGCCAGCCACAAATATTTTTAAAGCAAGAGGCTTGCCCTGGGCACTTGATTTCCTGTGACACTCTTTCAGAGCAGATGCCAATATCTAAAGATAAAACAAGCAGCTTATACTCTCCCAGCATATCACTCTACAGGAATCCTAATGTGTTTTGTAGATCCACTTCTTGAGAAATACTTTGGGCATTACTGACAGGTACCTGTTGTTACAACAGGGTATACAATAAAACTGGCTCTACCTGCAACACTTGCACAATGGTCTCAGGCAAGAATTGGTAATTTTGCAATACTAAAACACACTGAGCCATCAAGAACATTTTGCTTCTCTTCAGGTAAGCTTATATGGGTAGGAAGTTGACCATGAGCTACCAGTACACCCTTAAAGCAAAAGAATTCTACTAGGCTGCTCTGGGAAAAAGCACTCATATAAGGTCAGATCCTTCTCTACTTATCCCTGTGAAATACATCCAAGCACAGTGTCCAGGCTCCCACATGGATTTACTGGGGCATGTGCAGCAAAGGGTGCCAAGGACAATTGAAGAACTGGAGAATTTTACTCACAAGGATAATAATGACCCCTGAGATTATTAAGGCTGGAGAAGACAAGGCTCTGGGGGAGATATTATCCATGTGTAAAAAATAGCCAGAATGACAAGGAGAGAAGGTGGTATAAAGAAGGCAGAGAGTCAGACACAACTGCACACAAAATGCAAAGAAAACACCATTTTAACACAAATTCCCATTTTTTACTGTGAAGGCTGTTCAACACTGGGATAGACTATTCACAGAACTTGTGAAGTCTCCAAAGCCTGATGAGACCAAGCTTGAAGAACCCGGTGTACTTCTAGTTGTCTTAAGCAGGGGAGTCGGCAATCACCAAAGATTGCTTCCAACTTCATTCCCAAAGAGGAGACAACCCTTACCTTCCCACCACCAATGCCCATGCCACAGTTATTGAGCTTGAGTTCCTGCAGAGTGTAGCATGCAGGGCTCTTCAGCAGAGCCTCAAAGCCACGCACACCATCTGGCCCAAAGGCATTGTCACTCAGGTCCAACTCCACCAGCTGAGCACCAGCAGCGATGAGTGCATCCCCCAAAGAGATCTGTAAGGAAACAGATGGCAGTGGGAGGGAGGGAATGGATTAACTTTTAGTGACAGCATCACTGCAGTGGCTAGGTATGAGTGATGCTGCAAAAAAAAAATTTCCACTTTGAAGACATTCTGCAAAGCTGCATGGGGAAATAAAACTTTACTGCTAAATCCAGAGAGGAAGTTGCACAAATTAAGCTAAAGATAACCATAAAGCAATCACCAAGACATTATCCTATCCCTTTAGGTCAAATATTTTTCAAAGTGAATTTCTTGCTCCACACTGCTGAAAGAAATACTGTTTTCATCAATGCTGAGTTTATGTTCTGGCTTCACAGGACTCAAGAAGATGAGGAGCTCTGTAATGGTCTTAGAAGACATATCTATATGATTTATTTAGAAAGTTTAGATTTCATTTTATCTGCTGGGTCATGAAGATAGTTTTTCCCAGTGAAAAGCTCCTTCACCAGCATGGACTCACATTTAACCTTTGACTCCTCTCCATCTCATACAGGAAGAGCAGAAGAGGACCACTCACCTATTCTGAGACATTTAGTGCTAACAGCACAGAGAAGGATCAGCTCTGTACCAAAATACAAACTCCCACAAAAAGCATGACAGGTAAGAAAAGCAGTTATATTAGTCAGAGGTCTCAGATCTAGTTTTTACTTACCAAAGCAGGAGGGATCTCAGACCTGAGCCTGCCTGTGAACATGTCACTCCAATGACACCTCTAAAATAAGAAGCATACAGATAAAACCCACTAAAATATTTAGGTCAACTCAGCTGTAATAAACATTTACACATACAAGATTCTTTACATCACTGGAGACAGCTTAATGCTATCTCCCTTCCCTTGGGTTGTCATTTGATTGTACTAAAGAGCTACAATCACTTCACTTGCAAGGACAAAGTAACTGAAATTTACACTATAAACATTATACAAAAATTCTTGTTTGTGTTCAAGCTGGAATTATTTTCTGTTGAGAAAATCGCCATTGAAAAAACCATCAGGAAACAGAAGAATACATTAGCAATGCAGATTTTACTAAGGTATGAAGTGTGACAACCTGAACTTACTTGAAAAGCCACACTTGGGTGATTAATGCGTATCAATCAATACCACTCTCCTTCAAGAGACAGTGTAGTGCCTGAAGTAGCCCAGCATCCCCCTAACATTAGGCTAGAGCAATAGTAGGAAAACATAGCTTGAGCAAAGATGAACCTCCTGTTACATTTCCTTAATTATTTCCTCCCTACTGAGATGTTCTCTGAAGATTCACTCTCCAGAACATTCAACTCAGTTTTTCAGAGAACTTTATCTGAACTTAGTATTTTGTTGCCATGGCTTTGTTTACAGATGCTGGCTTCAGTAAAGGCTCTTCCTCACACAGCTTCCCAGCTTTAAGACTGGAAACCTTCTAAACAGGAAATTAGGAATGCAGAAGGTATTCCCATTATCTTAAAATGTCCAAGGTATGCTGTATTTTCCTAAGATTGCTCTTCCTCCTGGAAGAGCCACCAAGCAAGCTTCAGGGGTAACTCAAGGCAGGTTTCTTCAGGAAGAGTCTATAGAGGCCTTCAGTATTTCCACATTATATCTTCCCCTTGATTACCCCACAGTTAAGAATCTCACCTTGAGCTCACTTTTCTTCTCCAAGGCTTTGGCAATAACCTTTGCTGCCTCCACACCCACTGTGTTGCCTTCCAGGCGCAAGGCTTCCAGGCCATCAAATTCATCAATTTGCTTGATCACTTCTTCAGCTGCAAGAAGCAGATAATCTAGTTGGTCTTTTAACCATTGACTTGGTTACCACAGTAACCCTGAGATCCAGTAAAAATTGTTCAACCTCTAGCAAAAACAGCTAGAACAACACCTGAAATAGCAATGGGAACAGAGCTGAAGTGTCAGGTCACCAGAAAGAACACACTCCATTCCCTACCCTGCCTTCATAATTCTATTGTTCTATTCTATAGTCATTCTCCTATTTGTAAAAGTAGATTTCTTTACTTCCCAAATAAAATTATTCTGCCATTCAGCACATGCTTTAAAAGCTAGAATGCAAGTCCCTGGAGTGGTGCAGAGACTAAGTTAAAAGCTGATGGGCATTAGTGTCATATCAACAGGAAGAAGTTCCCCCTGACTGACAAGTAATATCGGTTTAGCAAACATGTCAGGGTGGAACAATTTAGCTCTGCAGTAATCCTATGCAAGGCAAAGAAGCAAGCTGCAGTCTCTTCTTCCAATGGGCACTTGCTGTTGTTCCCAAGAGCCAAGGCCTTGCCCCATAGTTCAGTGCCTTTGAACTACTAAACCAATCTATAGAAAGGCTTCGCCTTTGGAATTAGCAAAAAAAAAAGCGCTATATAGCATATATGCTATATATATTATTTGCTCTATACTATAACAAATAACCTCTCTGAAAAACATGCTGTTTTTCTTGGTGTGGCAGAAATGTTGATCTAATACATACATTTTCTCCAGATATTTACATTAGCAGCCACTGTAAGACTTATTGTGAAACACACATACAGCAATAAGAACAGAAAGAAAGGGAATTACTGCAGCAGGCTAACCTATCATCCCATTCCTCTGCACACATTTTGTACCAAGAGCTGCGATATACTTGTTTATTACTCTTGTTAAAAGAAGCACTGACTTCTATTGTCCAGTAACTGTCAAAAGCACTTAGAGAGAACACCAAGAATACAACTGCAAACCAGGCACCCAGACCCCAGTTACAGCACTGCCAAGGCACCAGGTCAAAGCAGGGTACCAGAAGGACAGGAAACATCCCTATCAGAAGCACTTGTAGCTGACAGACCCCTGTATGGCAGATATGTTATGACAACTTGTCCATGCGGGATTTGCAGAAAGTTTACCACAAGATTTTACAATTTCAGGAAGATGCTTCCAAAGCACAAGGGTATTTTCTCTTACCATCCTCAGCTGTGTTGAGTTTAAGGCTCTGGCCTTTGAAGCTCAACTGTCCACCACCCACTTTGGTTTTGGCAAGTGACTCTGCAAGCTTAGTGATGTCTTCTGATGCCATTTTCCCGCTTTTTCCAAAAGTTAAGAACTGTCAATTAAAAGAAATGGTCATCATAAAAACTCTCTAACTACAATACATAATCAATTCAAATAACCGTATTTATTTGAACATTAATGTGGTTTTTGTTAGTCAGATATCTAATTGAGTTTTTAATGTCATAACTACTTTTCCCCAGAGCTCAATTAAGACAGCTAAGCTAGCTTAATACTCCAAAGCCAGTCAGTCAGATGGTGCTGATTCTTCCAACACTGACAATATACTTCATAAATAAACAGTAGGTAAAACTATGGATTAAGGCCACATTAAGACATTACTCTTTGTGCAAGATTAACAATTACAATGCAATATCCCTCTTGTTTCAAGTTCCATCCTTTAATTATATGTGCTGCATGCTTCCCATGCTCTCCAAAGCAAGCTAGAATGAACAGTTGCTTTTCCTTTTCAGTGATATTCCCAGAAGTGCCCTTGTCAGCACAGTTCCAGAACCATCGAGTTGCTGAAAACACTGTGTGCTGCATACAAAACTCTCTCAGCTTCCTGGGTGCTCTCTCCTTTCAGATGTTCCACACAAATTCATCACACGTTAAACAGGATGATCTTACACTTAAAATAAATTAATGAGCATCTAGCCTTGAGGCACAAATTTGAAGCTAGCCATGTCTGGTAGCATCTGCATAGCATTATTTAATGAATATTAATCACTGGCTGAAGGAACTGCCCTCCATCCATTGAGCACAATAACTAGAGTACATTTCTTATCCCACTGTCTCTGCTGAGATAAAAGGCTACACACAACTAATGCTTAGAAACCCCACACTTAGACTTTAGATGTCAGAAGGGATGAAGTTCCATTCCTGCAACAGAAAACTGGTTCCCTTCCATTCCTGTCTGATTAGAAGTGACCCCACACTCTTGTAGCTGCTTGAGGTCAATAGTGCTGGTTTTAAAATATCCTCTATAGGAAAACTGTATATTTTCCTCTGCACACTTTCCTCCTGATACCCATCTGTGAAACCTCCAGCTTCCCCAGAGTATGACTTCTTTTCAGGGGTCTTTAATTTTAATATCACTTTTGGAAACAGGGGGTGAAAATCTCCAAGGCTGAACAACATAATTTTTCTAGGATGACTATCCTCTCAAGTAGGTGCTGCCAGTAGAAAGAAACTGATGCCTACTGTGGCTACCTGAACAGAGGCTAGACAGAGTTAAAGCAATAAAGTAGGTGTTTATTAAAAGGCCTTCAAAAGATAAACCTTGGGCAGTACAGCAGACCAGCCATGATTCCACCCAAGATGGACACCTGATCATGAGGTTTCATATTTTATAAGTTTTGGTCTATTTCCATGTTGGGGTTAATTGTCCAATTACAGCTTCAGGTTATGAAGTCCCATCCTCCCAGATGGCTTTCCTCAATTTGCTGTTGTTCACACTTTTTGGGCATGAAGCTGCAACAGTGTCCTTGGTTCTCAGGCTGGAAAAGGATTGTTTTGTCTACCTGCCCTGTGAAGAGAACTTGCTAACACTTTATATGAAGTTCAGAGTTACACACTAAGGCAGTACAGAACCTGAAAAACATGAAAGCTAAAACTTCAGGCATCAAACCCACATAGCTTATTCCAGTCCTACTAGACACCCAGATACCAAACTCATGGACACGTCCAGCCTCTGCCAATCCAACACTGAGAAGAAAGAGGACATCCTCCAAACCATGAAGGCTTTACCAGATAGGAACATAAGTTACTATCTGCAGAAGTCAGCCTGTCCACCTAGTTTAAGAGTAAAGTTAACAAGTTTACTCTTAAAAATCATTTCTAATCTATTATGATCATCTTTCTTACAGATGTTCACATCCTCCTGGCTTCTCTTTCCCTTGAATCACCTTTGTTGTTCTTCACCTTACACATAGACTACCTTCTAATCTCAACATACACATCCTGAAGCATGTTTTATAGCACATGTCACCCACACCCACCTGTCAACCTACCAGAGGTCTCGTTA